CCTTGAGCCACAGCTGGCTGCCAGCCGGGCCTCGGAACACCCTCCAGTGCCTCCAGAGAGACCAGGCCAGCCCGAGCCTTCCTGCGCGGAGGTGGGTCAGACCCGTGGCCAGGGGGTGGGCATCCCCGGGGAGCAATCCACGATGCACTGTACCTCAGAGAGAGAGCATACCCTGGGGCCTCACGGGCACCGGGCCCTCCGTCCAGGGGAGGACAGCCGGTTACAATACTGCTCACAAGAAGACAAGGGCCGGGCTGCCCTCGGGCGCCCCTCCGTCTTCACTTTGGTCTCTGGGGAAGAGCCAGCAGTCTGATCTGCTCTTTTTCGGGCCCTCTCTCCTTCTCTCCACCCCCACGCTGCTGAACCGGTTCATTTCAATCACAAAGGAAAAATAAAGTGGGGGTGGGGGGGAAATACTTAGGAGTCTATTATCACACACATATTAATATGTTAATACTTTCTTTCTTAAAAAAAAAAAAAAAACCTCTTGATGTTATTATTTTGCAGACTACGCTTTATAGTACCTGTGTGGCGGGGCCTAGAACACTGGATACAAATAGAGCTATGTTGGTTTATCATAATATGTACGCAGAAACTTTCCTTTTGTCATATTATCCTTGTAATGTAAGAAGATTGTTAATAAAAGCATTTAAATTGACTCACCAAGGTCAAATCTCTGCCTCTTTGCCTCCATCCCAGGCCTGGGCTCTGGACAATTCAGAATCGGTTCCATCACAAGGGCTCCACGGTCAGGCTAGGAGCCTGCCGGCTTGCCATGTTGGAAGGAACTAGAAGAGGCCTCTAAGTCCCTTCCTGCCTGTCTCTTTTCCTCCAGTTGAGCCCATTTCCAGCCCCCTCAGTTGGTCACTCAGAGGCTCCCTGTTGTGAAAGCCACTCCACAATTCCCATGGAATGTTCTGGTTCTCTTCTTTTCCCAGAGGAGGAGGACTAGGGAAGGAAGGAGCAAAGGGGCATAACTGTCCCTGTCTGACCAGCCCAGGTGAACCAGGGTCAGCCTGCACTCCACGGCTGGCCCTCCAGATTTGACGTACATTCGCAGCTGGGAAGCAAGGAACGGAAAGATCTTCCATCTGCACTTGGCCATGAGGTCATTCCCCCCAAAGCAGGGCTTGGAGGATGGGGTAAAGAACATGAAGTCTAGCCCTTTCCCTTCCTTCCCCCTTCTCCCCAGCTGCTCCCCACCCTCTCCAAGGTGCAAAGGACAAGTTGAGTTCAATTCGGAGAGGAGACTCAGGACACTGGGCAGTCACCCGAAGACCCAAGGGGCCGCTATGTGACAGTTGCTACAGTGATCTTTTGAAAACACAGATCTAGTCATGACGTCCTCCCTGCTTAACACTCTCCAGTGGTTTCCCATTGCCCTTGGAGCGCATTCCAAAGTCCCAAGCATAACCATAGCCTCGCGCAGTCTAGCCCCTTGCCTACCTCCCGGCCTCGGCTTGTGTCCTCTGCACGGGCCTCCAGCCACACTGCCCTCCTCTGTTCCTCAAGCTCACCAAGTTCTTCTCTGCTTCAGGACCTCCCAACACCCTGTACCCTCTGCCTGGATGGCTTCCCTTAGGATGGTTGTATGGCCGAGCTCTTCTCGTCTCTTAGGGTCCCTCTCTAAATAGCCACCCTCGAGGCGCTGTTCAATGTTCCCGCTGGTATTTCCTTTCATGACTTTTATCTCTGTTTGCCACCTTGTGTGTGTGTGTGTGTGTGTGCACGTGCGCGTGCAGTTCCTGTCATATAGTGGGCATTTAATCAATGTTTATTGAAAGGGTGAATGAATGACTGTAGGCAGCCCCTGATACAAGTATAATCCCATTCATGCTGTATTGGTCATGGGGGAAATCCTGGATTCTTCACTTCCTCTGTCTCTGTATTGATTTCTCCATTGGATCAGGATGACCCTGCACCTGACCCTGGGCTACATCTGGCCTTGACCCGGCCTCTTCTCTATACAAAGCTAGAGGTTGCCCCTGAGATGCTTCCTTGAGTTATACTCCACTCCAACTTGCTCTTATCCCTTGAATAATGGTCCCTCACAATCCAAGCAAGTGTCTCCTCTTTTGAGGAGAACTTTGAGCTCCTTCCAGCTTGGCAATTCTCAGTCCAAGGTTCTAGGCAACATTTGAAAGCCACTGTGAGCACATCTAAATTACCTTAGCAATAAAGACCCTTGGTCCCTGGCCGTATGTCAGAGCCTGGACTTTAGGGTTAGAGAACACCCCATTCAGTACCCCGCTCTGCCTCTTACAAGCTGTGAGACCTTGGGCAAGTCACTTATCTGAGTCTGTGTCTTCAGTGCTTAGCACAGAGCAGTGGGCTACTACATGCTGACTGTGCATCATCATTCTCGTTATAGTTACCTCTTAGATAGAGTAGGATGGAGAGCCTCTTAGGATGGAGTAGGTGCTAGGAAGTTGTGTGGTTTCCCACTGTGGTCCTCGTTCACCCGGAATTCCTGTCGCTACCCTCGATGAGGGGTAGCCTGTGACTTGTAATACAGAGCCACCCACACTTCCCCTGCCTGCAGACTTGGACACCTCTGCCTGAATGGGGCTCGCCTTTCCCTTCTCAGCCTAAAGACCCTCAGGGCAGCTTCTTCTGCTTCCAGAGCTCATCCCACCCGGCTTTTAAGGGAAAAGGGGCCGCAGAGAAGTTTTGTTTGTTTTTCGGCTGGAAAAACCAGTTTCTCCTTGCTTGTCCCCGGTTTGAGCCCCCCGGGTGTCTGAAGCAGGATTTCTGCCAACACCCACTTGCCAATGGGCTGTCCTGAAACACCAAGAAGGAATGCTGGGAAATTGGAATGGGAAACCATACTCCAGCCTGGGCTGTTTGCAAGGAGACCACACCCAGATGGAGAGGAACCACCCCAGGGCCCTGAGCACAGTGTGGCCATCACTAGATAGGTTTCCTTGGCAACGCCTGGCTTCCAGCCCCAAGGCTAACTTCCTCCCACCTCCCCCCAGGTAGGTGTCTGCCTCCATCTCTGGCTTGGGGAAGCTTCTGAGGTTCCTGCCAAGAACAATCTGTGCTGGCTCACCTGCAGGAGGAAGAGGGGAGAAGGGGGGACAGTTCTTCAACACTCGCACCAAGAAAATGCCCAACCGCCTAAATCTATCCCTAGCACATCCTGTGGCTCTAGCCTTGCCAGGTGTCTGCCCTGGAAGGGAGACAGAACAGATGCTAGGGTTCTGAGCTTCTGGAATGGTGGTGCTTCCAACTGTCGGTAAAAAAAAAATAGAAAAAAATAGAAACTCTTGGATGGAAAATTACCACCAGTTCCATTAGCAGTGAAGTGCATGAGAGAAGCTGACTCAGAGCCTCAGGTGACATTGTATATTGCCTCAAGGACTGGGTGACTGTCAGAAGATGCTAGGCGGACCTACCAGGCATGGGACAGAGAGGGCAGGTACACAAGTAGGTGGGTTTAGTTTGTTTTATGCATGAGACAGGAGACTGAAACTATGTGTGAAAAGTACATTGTTGCCAGTCTAGGTCAAAGAATCCTAAAACCTTAAAGTGAGTGATCATTTGGTCCAAGTTCATTTCACAGATAGGGACACTGAAGCCCGAACGCAAGTGACTTGCACTTGCCCAAGGCCATGAAGTGACATAGCCACACTGGGTTGTAGGTTCTTGGCTCCTACCTGCCGTGCTCCAGACTTGAGTCAATTTTATATGCAGGGGCAGAGCTTATTGTTTAAGGCAGTTCAGTGGAAAGCCCCATATACTGTGATTAATGAACTCTTCTCCTCTCTTCCAGACTCTCAGATATTAGTTTTAGGCTCTGATGGGCCATATTCATAGGTACCCGTGAAACATGGTCTGTATACTCAGCTCTCTGTGGGACAGGACCTACTTCTACTTAATTATGAAACTAAAAATCCTGGTTGTCCTTACAATATAATAAATATGTGTATAATATAAAATAAGGAATCGCATGCACTTGGAAAGCAAAGGCATCTCAAGGCTTTCTTCATGGATCATTTCTCCATTATAAGAACTTCAGTTTTAATCGGCCCTGGCTAATTCCCTACTGACTATAAAATTCAGGCCCTGCCCTTCACCTGATGCCAGAGCCTCCGCCTCCAGAGGCCAGGGCTGCAGCAGCCACCAGGAGGACCTAGGGTGACAGGCCTCCAGGACTCCCCTTGTCCCTGCCCACCTTCTGGAGCGCAGGAGAACCATTGGCTGATGCGCTGACCTTCCAGGGATAGGAGTATTTCTTTTGGGGATGTTAGAGAAAGAAGTCTCTAGATCCTACCTAATTTTTTTCTCAAGAATGAAGTCAGAGCCCCAAGAGGCCATGCCCGTTGCCTGCATCCCTACTTGTGTATACCTTGGATTTGGTGCTCAAGCAAAACCACCAGGGGCATGAGTACACGCACGTGCACACACACACGCGCGCGCACATGCACGTGTATGCACAAAGAGCACTTTACCATTCAGCAATTCTACTCACTCCTGGGGACATACCTTAGAGAAACTTGTACACGGGAACAAGGGGACATGCACGAGAATGTTCCTAGCAGTCTTGTAATAGAAAAACAAAGAAATGTCTAAATGTACATCAGTAAGAGAATGGGATGGTGGCCTCTCCGTATAATCGAATCTTATACAGCAGCAAACAAATACGTAAGTTAATAAACAAACAAACGGGTTAGAGCTACATATGTCTGCATGGGTCAAGCTCAAAATTTTAATGTGGAACCCAAATAGTGGGATGTAATTTAAATAAAGTTTAAAACACAAAGATACTCTTATGCTGCTCAGAGCTTATGTATACGTGGAGGGAAGGGGTGAAGACACGTTTGAGGCGGGGAGAAACACGGCGCTCTCCTGAGTGAAACCGAGGGGACTTCGATGGCATTCATCAAGTTTTATAAAACGCTGTAGTAGCTTATGAGTGTTTATCAAATTATTGTTTGTGCATTTGATGTGTCTCAAATATTAAGTGAAAAGGAAAAAGAAAACACCGGGCACCTGACCCAGTTGGAAATGATTTATTTACCACGGAAAGGTTTTTGCTCCCAAGTGTGACACCAGACATATGACTACAATGTCTCATGCGTCTTTTTGTGCTTCGGTTCATGATTGCAAAACAAATACACACTTAGCACTGACAACAGGAAACACAGGAGGCAGAAATAAATCACAAGGACTAGGTATCTCTTTGGGGGGTCCTCGCCTCGATTTGGCTCAGGCTGCAGCTACCTCCCCTCAAGACTCCTTTACATCCCAAAGGAACTGCCCCTGGAGAGTCTCTCTTTCATCTTACCCTCTCTACATAGCGTCATTTGGAGTGATGGGTCACTCAACCCACGCCAAGGATCATATCTCAAAGTGAAATGGACAGACACGTGCAAGGTCTTGACTGATGGGCACTCGGCAGACACACTCTGATTTGATGTGAGAAGTAGAGTCACAGATTAATGAGGGTGGACTCCCAGTTCTCTATCCCCGTCACCGTATCTAGGAAAGAACCAGGTCACCTTGGGGTCCCCAGCCGGGTCTACGATGGGGTTCTCCTTTTCACCTTGCTCCATGCCCTTCTTAGAAAATGCTCCCTGGCCAAGTACAAGGGGTGCCTTTCAAAAACGATCAGTTGATTTCACACAGACTCAATCACTCTAAGTTGGTTGTAAATCGCACATGTGTCTGGTACAAGATACCCAGATGGGAAAATCACTGAAGTTTGTTGATTTGGCGGTCTGAGGTCTCTGGGCAATTTAAAATTCACCAGGACGGAGTTTTGGTGGAAAACCATAGCAATTATATTCTCTTTTATCGTTTGTCACATTTATATGGAGACATATGAGTGGTCATTAGGTGATGGGAGTACTCACCTGTGACCGTTTAGGCCGACTGCTGAGACGGCTGATGCTTTTACCATTGAGAAGTCAGGGCAGCGTGATTTTTATGCCACTTATGGTCTCTTTTTCCATCCAGTCCCCTATCTATCCTTCACTCATTAATTCATTCAACAGATATTTATTGAGGGCCCGCGAGCTAGCTTTATTCTAGGTTCTTGGAACATACCAGTGAACACAACGGACAAAATCCCATGCAAGACCTCCTTCATTCCTGGGCAGGTGTGCTAAGTGAAATGGCGCTCAACACTGAGATGTTCTGTGGTGGCATCTGACTCCTATCAGGGACAATCTTGAGCTTGGATTCTGGAAAACGAAACCCTTGAGATACAAAGAAATGGATGCCTCGTGATGGAATGACCATAGGCAGGGCTGCTATTTCTGACATCAGAGGCCCCCCAGCCTACCTCAAACATCCTTCGGTATAACTGTGAGGCAGGTGCATAGGTTTATAAGGAAGTAGAACCTGCGTTTCCTGATGTTAAGTCTAGAATCCAGACTTTTCTACATTGGAGTAGCCGATGTTACCGAGAGGAGAGTACCGGTCAGCCCACATTGGAAATGTTTTGTGTTCTTGTGGCCATGCCAACCAAAACCAGGAGGCTAGAGCGTGAGGGGAGCCTCAGCAACATGTTATAGGAAATCACTAACAAATGATTTGCCTAAAAAAAAAAAAAACAAACAAACTTGGCAGGAGGTGCGGCCTTAATGAGCAAGATCTTCAATTATCTAAAAGACTTCCCAATTAAACAGGGATCCGATATTTTTTCTCTTTCTTCGGATGCTTTTCTACTTCTGCACAAAAATGGAAAGTCATGACTAAAGGTGATGAGGCCCCTGCTCTGATTCTCAGGGAGAGGCCAAGAACGGCCTGCCATGTTGCAGGCATGAAGCATGGCCCTCACCCACCTCACCTAGGGGTCCCCTTGTAGATCACAGGACTGGGTGACAGTTGAGGGTCCAGAGTTTGGGTGTCAGTAGCGAGGAGCCCAAATGCAGAATCCATGGTTCCGGAAGTGCCTGGGATGGTTCTGGCCCCTTCCAGTCACCGTCAGCTGCCATCTTGATGCTTAAAGATGACCTGCAGGTGGCTGCGGTTTGTTTTTAGCCAGAGAGTGCCTACGGTTTTTGAGCACTATTTCATCTACCACATCATTCACAGAGACAGAGCTGCCATTTCATTGACCCCATTTTACGGATGGCCAATAACAGAACCCGGGAATCCTGGTTCCTGGGCAAATATTATACCCACGCAGCAAGACTCAGCATCTAATTGACCATGCGGACAGCTGTTTGGAATAAGAAGGTAGGAATTTGAAGCCTAGCTGCTGGTTACTTACTGATGAAGGTGGTAGGCCTTGAAAATTGAGGAAGGGAGACACATTCACACAAGACTCTTTCCTATTTCAAGTTCCCTTCCTCGGCCACTTCGACGCAGCCAGATGTAATAGACTAAATCGCTATGCGCCTCCCACTGAATTCCTCCTGCAATGGCTGGAACGCTGAGAAAGATGGATCTGTCTCAGAGAGTCACTTTGGTGATGCTGGTGGGTGTGACAACAAGCGCCTCGTGACAAACAGGGGAATCCCACCTACACTTTGTTAAGGAAGATCCCCCCGAGGATAACATAAACTGATTTTGAGAGAAAACAACAGAGTTCTTCAATAAAAAGCACAAAATTCAGTCCAAGAACAGGATCTGAAGAGCACAAATGAAAACATTAAGAATTAAAGTAATTAAATAAATTAAAAAAAAAAAAAAAAAAGACCCAGAGAGGCCTCCCAAATTTCACACTGACAACTGAGATGTCCAGCCTCGGAGCTGGCTGCCCCAGGGTATCGGGAGTCCCGACAAGGACTGGGAAAACCTGTCTGGAATGCTGTAGAAGGCATTTCTCCCAGTGCGGTGCTCCAATCTCTGCATCAAAACCACACAGTGCTTGGTAGAAATGCAGGTGCCTGGGTCGTGGCCAGGAATGTCAACAGGTGGGCCCGGGGAATCTGCTGGTGATTCTTCACACACTAGGGTTCGAGAACCGATGGGTGACTGCCATGGGCCAGGGGCACGATGTGATGCTGGCTAAGATGTCATCCCACCCATCCCAATCCCTAACTCTATGAGTTGATCTAGGATACTTTATTTCCGCCACCATTTTTGAAATGCTTATTTTTAAAGAGCCGCATTCTCTGCACACATTCTTCCCCACATTGAGCGTTCTCTGCGCCGGGCCTGACCCCACCTGCCGAACCTGCACATGGGCTGTATTTGACAAGTGTCTCTTCAATAGCACGGAGGAGCACAATGCATTCCTCGGCGCGACCCAAATGTCCTGTTTCCACACACTGCCCTGCCCTACTCATGTTTTGGAAATAAGAGTGCACTAGGAGAGGGAAGGGGTCCTGGCCTTTGCAAACACATCTGTCTCCTGGGTGTCAGAATGAGGATGGGGCACAAAGAGGACGTCGCCGAGGACAGCGGGGCTGGAGGGGCGGGGCGGGGCCTGAAAGGGGAGGAGCACGGGCGGCTGCTTACAGGTGCAGTTGGTGCCACATGGCGATCTGCCGGCGAGGGTTCTTGAGCATCTCTTCCCAGTGGCTGCGCTCGGAGCCCGAGGCGTGCAGGCCCAGGCTGCAGTGGCCAAGCGCACAGCTCTGCCCCTCCTCATCCTGGCCCAGCACCTCCAGCTCCACGCTGGAGGCCTGCAGCAGCTCATCGGGCAGCTCGAACATGATCATCTCGTTCCATACGGGGTTGATCTTATGCTTGGCCCGTTTTGTCTGCTTCTTCTTCAGCTTCTGCGTCTGGTGCTTTAAGGTCACCTTGACAGAGACATCTGGGGGGAGGAGAGAGACGGAAAGGTGAGCCTGTGGGGTGTGGTGGGCCCAGGATGATGCTCCCTCTTAGGGCTGGAGAGACAGGGTCTCTGGCTGAAGATTTGCACTGAGGCTCCCTCTCTCCACACCCCCCACCCTTCACTGTGCCTCCCTCTCAGCGGGCCATGCGTTCACTCAACAATTAGTAAATACCCACCATGAGGCATTAGACATGGGGATACAGCAAAAGCTCCTGCTTCCATAGAACTTAAGCCACAGTGTGGAAAACCCGCAATAGTACAATACATCAAGGTGGTCACTGGGTAGCCCATGATGGGATCAAGCTGGAACCACTCCCTGCCATGAGCCCTTCCAAGTGTCTTCATGTCCCACATCAACCCAGGTCCCGGGTAATGGCTCAGATGTATGGCAGCTTGATCTTCACCTCAGACCAGCAGAACGAAGCCACCCCCACGTCTTCATCCCCTTGGTTCTCCCTCCGAGCACTTTTTTTGATTATTAAGATAGAAGAAGGTCTCCTGCTGGTTGGTTGAGTTCTTCTCCTCTGTTGTTTTATAAATTTTACTGGCGTACCCCGGCTTCATGTGGAGGGCGAGGGCAGACTGCCTGGACCCCCACGGGTCCTGGGCCAATAGAGCTGCCCCCCACCCCCACCCCGGCTCCCGCCCGAGGATAGCGGCAGGGGTCACAGGACAAGGTTGCATGGAACATCACCAGGCTCAGGAGTCGGATTATGTTTTCATTAGTCAAGGTTCCCCAAGCTAATGTGAGAATTTAATTGTTCTTCGGTATTTATGGCTATAATTATCACCCCCGGGGCGGCTAGTTCATTTCAGCAGATAGAGTTGAGAGACAAAGTGTTGTGTCGTAATCGTCCTGACAGGAGCTTTAAAAAAGAGCAGGAGGCATAGAATTGTCTGGAGGGGACGAGGAAAAGCACTGAATGCTGGCCTTCGGCTGGGGGATCTGTCGGCAAGACCAGCCCTTCCAATTTCATTTGCCCAAAATTGTTTGCTCAGAGATTCTGAACGCAGTGGTAATTCTTTATTTGTATCCTGCTATAAATACCTGGTTATTTATATCCTGCTCTGAGCACTTGGCGTCGGGTCCAGGTATCACACTGCTAGCCAGTGCCGTTCTCCTGCTCTGACAAGAGAGCCTGTTTGGTCCCCAGGACTCAGGGGGTCTGTCTGTGCTGGGGTAACCAGAAGGAAAAACTGAGGCTTCCAGAATGCTGAGGAGATGCTTACTTGGATATATGGGGCACAGATGCCCGAAGCTTCAGGCCGCTTCAACCCATGCACCCACACACCTTCTGCCAGTGCCCACGCTCAGCTGGTGTGGGGGTGGCAGGTTGACAAAGACTGAGAAGACAGAAGAGACTGGGGTTGGGTGTGGGGCACACAGCGATGGCGAGCTAAGACAGGAGGACAGCCCGGCCTTCCCGACACCTGCCGGTGAGGTGAGTCCAGCCCGGTGTGGGTAGTGGGCTAAGTTTCCTCCAGATACTGCCCTTCGTGGCTACAGTCCGATCCCTGGCTTCCTCTGACCCACGGGTGAGACCGGCTCTCCGCATGTGGATCTGCAAGGTCAGGAGCTGCAAGTAGCTCATACCCGGGCCCGATGAAGGGACTGGCCCAGGAGTATACGGAAATGAATTTAAAGAAGGGAGTGTGTTCTCACTCACCCTTCCCCAGGAGTGCCTTGGACTGGTTAGAATGGAGGTTCTTGGCCTTAATGAGCACGACCAGGAGGCGGTTGGCAGCCGGGAGGTAGCTGATGGACAGAAGGACCTCTCCAGTTCCCGCAGAGGGCTCCTGAGACAGAAAAGAGGGTGAAGGAGGGGGGCTTCACTTAGGGGTGGCTTCTGACCCATCGGCTAATGCTGAGGCTGGGGTCACACTGGACTTGCATCTGTCAGGCATTCTAGAAACCATTTATCCACAACGCTGCTTTCTTGCTGAAGGGAGGAGGACACAGAGGAATTATATGTAGCGTGTGCTTCAATAAGAGTTTCTCATTTGCCACAAAATGTGATTTTCCGAATATCATATATTCAAACCCGACATATAAAACAGATTGAAGAGACGCCACTTAGGATGTGGCAGGGGCAGAGGGCCAGGACCCTTTCTCACCCTCCACCAGCACCCCCAACACGTTCTTGGGGTATCTTTATAGAACACTAGGGTTCTATGGAGACACAGTTTGGGAACCACTGAATCAATCGGTCAGGCGCCGGGAGCCGCTGTGATTCATTACTCTGTTTGAGAAGATAATTCCTTCCAGCCCCTGTAGGGCGGAGAGTCAATAATGTGATGTACGGATGCTGAGCGGGGCCTTGCTTGGTCAACAGAATGGCCAACTGTGTCAACAAAAAATCTGGGCATGCAATGGTAGGAAGGGCACCAGAGGCCACTGGCAATAAGTATGATCTGCATGAGGTGCGGATGCCTCCGCCAAGCGCCCAGCATGCCTCACCTCCTTCCGTGGCTTTCCAGAGCATCTCCACTGAAATTCCGACAAGCATTTGTTTGGAGTTTCAACAAAACCCCCAAGGGACAAAAATGACCCAAATAGCAGCCCCCCGACCCCAGGAGGAGGCAGATGTCACAGTCCCAAGGCAGTGCTAAGCGTGTAGACCCTAACACCGGACCATCTGGGTCTGAGCTCCAATCCTGCCATTCACGCGCTGTGTGCACTCCGGCATGTGACTTCACTTGCCCACGCCTCCAGGGCCTCATCTGTAAAATGGGAATGATAATACAACCACCCAAAGGGCCTGGCCCACGTGAAGCGCTTTGAGGATCACCATCGGTCATCAAGGAAGGAGAAGCAGCACTTTTCAAGATAATGATTAAGTGGGAATATTGTTTCTGGATGAATAAGAGCCAGTCTGGGCTTTGGGAGTGAGGCTGGATGAGGCTGGCCAGCCCTCTGCCCGGGTCACCCCTTTTCTCGGGGGGGGGCGGGAAGGAATGTCTTCAACGTGACCCCAATGATTCAACTGGTCCTAAGTAACTAGTCACGTGACAAAATGATTTGGGAGCTACCAGGGACTTTGGCAAGGACATGAGTCATAGCAGCAAAGACTAATTAAACACTTACTATGTGCTAGGTGCAATTGCATTATCCATCCCATTAGGCTGGAAGCCCCACAAAGCCATTCCCCAGCACACAGCATACAGCTGACACACGATAAATATTTGTGAGAAAGCAGGGTGAGACCTCCTACTGAATCTTTTTTTTTTTTTAAGATTTTATTTATTT